TACAATAAAAACGTGTATACTCTTTAGTTTGCGTGATCATAAAATATATATAACTTGGCAAGGATATAAGATAAAACCATTATTCTATAGAAGTCTAAGAATCAAGGGGATTTTATCTAGCCTATTCGCTGATTTTTGTGACCTAACAAATTTACATGCTATCAAAAATAATTTTACATTACTAAATGAGATCATTATAGTGAAGGAAGATTTATAGATAGGATAGTAATAAAGTTATAGATTAACACATAGAAATAAATAATATTTATACCAACACCATAGTCTACTGTGGGTATAAATTTAACTCTATGTGTTCTACAGATAGAGGATAAAATGTGACAGTAATAAGACTCATAGGTCCAAAAGATAATAAACCATGATACACAGCCAACAGGGATATGTTAGGTTGAAGGATCTCCAACAATATATCCTTCTTTGTCAATAGATTGTTTCATGAGATTTTTAAAAAATATATATTTTAATGCAGGTAAATAACATAAAGGTGAGTACAAATTTAATGAAAGCAATTCTGTAAGGGACCAACACAAATTGAGCCAAATCTGTCTCATGATGCGGTAAAATTTCGAACATCAAGAGTGAGTGGATGGCATACTAGTAAGGCCATGTTCCCAATGGAATTATTGCAGTTTTTTCTATTGATCTTTGATTAGACTGCAGAGGTTTCAGATTGTAATCTAGAAAAAGAATGAAAATTGCCCTTTTTAATGATGTCCATGAAACAAAGAACGTCTGTTTTGGTAATCAGTTGGTAAGGTTTAATGGCATTTTATACAAATTAGGTGGCTTACTAAGAACCTAACTGAATACACTGAGTTCACTTTTTATTTGTTTGGAGGCGTGAGGGAAGACCTTCACGAAATCTACCTTTGTAAACAGTGCTAAATGTGCTCTCACATAGCAGTATGCCAACTGCGGTTATAATCAATTTTGCTGAAATTTTTTTCAAATAAAGCATTGTAAGTACCTGCACACATAAAGTCATAAAAATCTTGATAAAATTCCTACACTACATAAATTTTAAGCAATGTAGTTTTATGGTAGTATCCTCAAAATATGCTAGACACCAACTGCAACCCCAGAGAACAGTGGTTATATCTGATGGATGGAATCCCTGATGATTACATTTTTATTTTTATTTCAGAGTAGTTGGTTTTTGTCCATTTTTATGTCAATAGGCACCATCAAGAGCAATTGTCTGTGGAAGCCATTTGTAGTGCATGCTTATAAAAGCATGTCATCAGTGCAGAAAAGATGCTTACCTATATAATTTCCTTAACAGGAGAATGCACATCTAAGGAATTACTAACCTGAAGTTAATAACAAGTATTAGGGATAAATTGAAAGGCTGAGAAGGGTTTTACAGACATGTTGAAAATATGACATCCTAAAACCTGAAAAGATGTCCTAAAATATCACAAGACAGCTTGACCTGGTAGTATATCATTAAGATGCCTCAATTATGCATTAGGGGTATATAGTGAGTTTATATCACTCATTCAATAACTAATTCCAGACCACAGAGTCAAAGCAAAGAAAAACAAAGTGAAGCAAAACAAAACAAAACAAAAACACATCAACAAAACTTGATAGTTTAAGTCTTCATTTTATATTTTCTAGGATGTGACAGATATGATATTTATTGCCATTTTGCAATAACTGAGTCTGAACCTCACCTGCTTTTCTTAGAGAACATGAGCAAGACAAACTAATATTTTTTAAGAAAGAATTGTTATTAAAGAATAAAAAACAAATAGAATCTTTGTGAGTACTAATAATATTCATTAAATAAAAGATTACAAATTTACAGCAGTGGTGGGGTATGAATCATTCCTGGAATATTAATGAGTTTATAAATTGAAAAGCCTCAGAGGCCATCAGTTAAGAGCACATTAAGCAATTCTGTGGACAGAACAACTTTATTAATTTGTCTAATTTATCAGTATTTAAACTGTTAATGGGTTTAATAGACAATGGAATTATTCCATTACTAGAGACCCAGTGCATGAAAATTCATGCACTGGATTGGGGGGTGGGGGGAGCGGTCCCTCAGCCCAGCCTCGCCCTCTCACAGACTGAGAGCCCCCAGGGGCAGGAGGCAAGCCAGGAGGTCAGGGGAAGGCAACGCCCTCATCACACCTCTGTTGCTGCCACTGCTGGCAGTGTAAGCCTCGCCTGGTTCTGGTTACCTGAACCTCAGGCCAGCCCTGTGCAGCTGAGCAGCAGCCATCCGAGACTTACCTTTGCCTGGGGCAGCTGTGCTTGCCTGAGCCTCAGTCAGTGGGGGTGCAGGAGGACCCGAGACCCCTGACAGGACTGAGGGAACTCCAGCGGCAGGCGCATGGAGCAGCTGGCCCCAACTGAGGAATGGCGCATACTCTCAATGAAATGAGTTATAACTTCCAATTTGTTGGACTCCACATGTCATTGAGAGTATCTGCTTCAGCTTTGGGGGAGGGAGGAAGAGAGGGATGGGCAGCTCACTGGAGGAGCCTGCGCGAGCTGTCAGCCAGTGGGGGATACAGGGGGACCTGTGGCCACCGGAGGGGCTGAGCACACGGAGCAGCCGTCCCTGTCCCTGTCCCTGCTGTGAATGCCACCATCTTGTGATGGTGTGACAGTCAATTTTCATATTACCTTTTTATTATATAAGATAGAAAGAAAACTTTGATTTCTACTTTATCAGGTGGGGAAATTTTAAAGCAAAGTGTAGGCTGATTAATTAACATGTACAAAACCCCTAAGACTTTATAGAGCAGGTATACTTAGAGAATTACAAATAGTTCAAATTATTCTTAATATCTAGTATGTAAGGTGATCTAACTAGGTACTAAATAATGGACTTATTGCATTGTTTATTTTCAACTTCACCCCACTGAAATGAAAACTGTATGAAGGTAAATATTTCATTTAACATTTTACTATTTCCCTCTACCTATATTTTTTGCACATAATAGACACTCAATAAATACATGTTGAATGAATAAATAAATGTTTGGTATAGAGCTGGTATAGTACATATGCTCAGTAAATAAGTTATTTCAATTATGTTAAATAACAATAATACATTGGGCACATAAAACATCATGGGCCATATAGGTTGCAGGTTTGAGATTCAGAAAAGGAGGATGAACTAAATTAAGTAGGTAATGAAACAAATTAAATAAATAGGATCCCACCGGGAAGAAGTTAAGAGTGGAAAGCTTGTGACATGCAAGGGCAGAGTACAGAAGTGCATCAATACAGGGCAGGTTGGAGTCATGAAAGCCAGAAAAGATACCAAAATGAAGCATCCAGAGAAACAGAAGAAGGAGCAGGAGAGTGTTGTATAAATGAAAGTCAGTGAAAGGTAGAGGTTGAAGGATGAGATGGTCAGTAGTGCCTAACACTTCAGTGTAGAGAGTACAAAAAAAATTACAAAACAGCAAATAATGAGGTACATCTCATGATTAACACTGCAGTAAGATTCAGTGCCTAAAACTAAATCTTCAGAATCAAGTGAACAAAAAGCAATAAAAAGAGTTTGCAAGATGGATAGAATTCACATGACACACGTTCTTTACCTTTAATGCTCTCAAAGAAATAAAGGACAGAGCAACAGAAAGAATCTATCTCATGTTTGATTTTATGTGACCAGGAGTTGGTGTTACATGGGCCAAAGAAGGAGTCCTGTGCTGGCTCACACAATAGAACTCACAAAGGCAGCTGGATGACAGGAAGACATAATATATTAGTTCTCTAGGTTAAATTCTGAGACCAAGATGCATCTAAACGCATCTAAATGCATCTAATGCTAAATTACTCACTTTTTAAAGAGCAAAAATAAATAAAAATCTCACAAGTCCTTTCTCTTTAAGACAATAATATAAAAGTATGCAAACAACACCTACATTCATCTAAAATAAAAACTATTTCTACACAGCTCTCATTAATTTTAATTAATCTTTTTTACTACAGGATGTATAATAAATTTTACATGAAGAAAGGAAAGTTAGAATTAGTTATTGCTATCTCAGCAATGTGGAGGTATTTTCCTTTGCTTTACATTTGCAGTTTGAGAAAATGAAGAGTTTTTAGTAATTTTTTTTAAAGGCCATTTAAAATACAACCAGTATTTTACAGATAATTATAAAATGAATCATAAGTGGGTGCAAATTGAGTAATCTGATTAATTTCTAAGTTGACCTTTAGAAAAGTATTTGTCTAATGTTTCTTAGTTGTATTTTTATTATATCCAACTGAAGTTGCACTACTTAATTTTCATGTGGTTTTTTGAAAATGAGAACTGCATATGGATATAAAATAATTTGTTTTGTAAAATAACTGTTTCGCTTCAGAAACAATTTGGATTTTAAAATGTATTATGAACATGATCATTGACTATTTGCATTTCTTTCTATCAAGGCTTGTTCTTTTCAGAGTTACCTTGTCTTCCTTATCCATTTTTCACTTGTAAATTTAATGCGTGAAGTAGTTCCTTTTCTGGTAGTTCAATGTATTGTTCACCAATAAAAAATAAAATACTCCTAATGGCAATGCACAGCTTTCTTCAATGTCTGTGTCCTCATGCGAGGTAGCCTCTGACCCAGATGAGGGACCTCCACATTGCAGATATATAATGTGCATCCCCAGCAAAATTGTCCTTAAGAATAATTGCATTATTCTGGGAAGCGGGATCTATAAACCATGTAAAACGTAGAGGAGTTCTGCCTATACAGTTTCTGGTAAGTACAGCATGACTCAGTGTTAAAACTGAGTCAGCTTCAGTTAAGACACACCTCACTAAAATGTTTACTGTGCCATGAAGGAGAAATGAAATATGGAGGGGAAAGGTGTCTTCTCTGAAGCAATGAAGTGTTTGATATCCATACAGTTCTGCCCCGATCAAAGGACAATTAGCTGTGGGAGCATTTAGTGGTGAGGTCTTCCAGTCAGTCACAGGAACCCCGAGTTAGAGCAGCATGATGAGGAGGGAAACTCACCAGAACCACGGGACAGATTGTTGTGGGTGGCAGAATATGGTCCTTCAAAGGTCCGCAGTCACATTCCGGTTTCAGATGAGAAGCGCATTTATTATGCAGCTGGGAAAGGAGAGAGAGGACACACTCACATTTTGCATGACAACAGCAAACACAGGGCAGATTATATTTCAACTCAGAAACAGTAAATGCTCTAAACGTGCATTAAAAGAATTAGGAGAACAAGAAGGATCATAAACAGATGCATATCACATTTGCCCTTATATATCCACCTTAAGTAAACCACACAGCAACTTTCCTGACACAGCTGATATATTTCCTAATTCTCACAAATGTTTATATTAAAAATGTGCTTTGGGTTTTATACCAAAAATAGCCCGAATTCTTTACCAAACACATATTATTGTCTATTGAAGTTCTTCCTTAGCATAATCTTGCAACCACTGTGCACTGTGGATGCTTTTTTTTTTTTTTTTTTTTGACCCTTCTCTTTTCTCAAAGTCATTTGAAAGTGCACAGCTCAGTATGGGGCATAATTGATCCCATCATTAGTTTTAACTTTGTAATTCAATATGTAAATGTAACCAGAGATTCATCTCAGTAGGAGCAGGATATAAATATAAGGAGATGATTATCATTATAAAAATGTACCTTTATACTGTATTTCTCAGCTCTACATTAATCTAGTGCATAATCATACAATGTGGTACTTAATTTTCAATGTATATAAACCTAAACCGATACTTGAATCAATGTTGGTCATATGTTTAAATTGAAATGTTATAACATAGTACATTAAATAGTGATTATGTTAAAGAAAATTTAGGCGGAAGTTTTATTGGAATCATACAGATTTGCTAAAGTAACAGTTGTTTATTTAACTTCTCCTGCCCTATTCCATATCAATCTAATGTGAAGTATTATAATTTAAAAATTATACATGTTAAAAAAATTTTTTAAATAAATAACATGTCTTATTCAAAACAAGAACAAAAAAAGAAACTATGTACATCTTATTGCAGTTTTTACTCAAAAGCTCCCCTTTTTAGTCACGGTTAATTAAATTTCACAATAAACTTACCTCTGTCACAGTTACTTAGCAACCCAGAAAAGGAGTATAAAGAGTGCTGACTTACTGTGGGTGCTGACAGAACTCTATGGAAGGGGTATTTCTATGTCCTTCAACCTAAAAAAAAGTCTTCTATGCTAACTCCCTGCCTTGGAGTTATGGCTACTTGTATGGTAGCCATGCAAGTCTGGCTGCATTATCTGAAATAAAAGTCCCTTTACATATTCATCCATACTTAGCAGCTCTGCTTGTCAGCAGCATGTTAACTCCTTATAAAAAAGTGGTCTAATCTAATCAGGAACTGCTGATCTTTGTCAAGAGGCAAGAGATGTTGAAGATAAAGAAGCAGTTGAAGCCACAGGAAAAAAAAAACAGGGCTAATTAAATGAACACTGATTTGGAAAAGGCATATTTTCTTCAAAATAAAATTAGTGACTGGCTTAAATGTATTATTAACTTATTGTACTTAATCAGTTTTCTTAGACTAAATCATGGCCCTGGAATTTGGGATTTAGCGATAATAGATTACCAAGTGTTATGTCATTGGATCAGAGCTCAGACTAATCCAGTGTAACTTCATCTGGATTAGTCTGAGCTCTGATCCAAAGAGAAGTCTGGACACAGAGAGACAGCCATGGAGGGAAGAAGGCCATGGAACAACAGAGTTCGGGATTTGGTGATGAAGCTACAAGCTGAGGAATAACAGGATTGCCATCAATCACCACAACCAGGAAGAGAGAGGCAAGGAAGAGTTCTACCCTACAGCCTTCGGAGGGAGCATGGTCCAGTTGACATCTGATATTGGATTTTCAGCCTCCCGAACAATGAGAGAATGAGGCTACATCATGCATTTTTTAGTATTTGGGGATGGTAGTCCTAGGAAACAAGCATACCCATCAGTGTGAAAACTGAACCAAAACCAAGGACAGACTATGTGTCTTCAGGCTGTTAAGTCCCAGGATTTCTCAGAGAAAAACTTTCACTTTCTGAACTACACAACCCCCCTACCACTGAGAATGCAGACTCTAAGAAGCCCTTATGGATAGCAAGATCCAAGATAAAAAAAATTTGTGTGCACATGGTGAGAAAGTACTGACTTTTCATCCTAGCTGCAGTTTCCAGTGACTCTGAAGGACACAGGGGCAGGGCCCTTTGAACATCTTGCTGGCATGACCTGTTATAACAGGATTTTTCTGTTTTTATTTCCTTAACTGGTTAGATTTGCTGAAGATAGAATTCAGTTCAAAGAGCCTATATTTAAAACTACAAGATGGGAAAATAGAGTAACATGAAGAAATCAGAGGTACTTAAAGGAGGTGTTAAAATGGGTTTATATCTTTTAAAATATCTCAACTTACTTGCATAGCTAATGTATATTTGAATATTGCAAGACTGCTTTAAAACTGAATTTAAGTTATATATGTACAATATACATTAACAGTAAGAAAAGTAGTATTATCAGTCATTAAATGTAACTTAGAGAGGACCTCCTCTAAATTAAGCATCACATCAAGAACTTTGAGTGATTAGGGAAATACATGTATATTGGACAAGAGCTGGATCAGATGGTAGTCCACTAGTGTAGATGATGTCAGCATGCAGATATATAACCACTGGAGAACACCTCAGCCTTTCCTTTTGGTGTGGATTAGAAGTACAGAGAGCCGAAACCGGTTTGGCTCAATGGACTGAAAGGTCCCAGGTTTGATTCTGGTCAAGGGCATGTACCTTGGTTGTGGGCACATCCCCAGTAGGGGGTGTGCAGGAGGCAGCTGATGGATGTTTCCCTCCCATCGATGTTTCTAACTCTATATACCTCTCTCTTCCTCTCTGTAAAAAAATCAATAAAATATATATTTTTAAAAAGTACAGACAGTATTCAGAAAAAAAAGAAATAGTATGTCAAGGAAATGTTCAAGAAAGTTATGGAATTTAAAATGTTCTTGAGATGCCATAAAAATTTAAAGTGAGAACTCTAAAGGGATTAGAATATGCACAATATCAGGTAGCAGGGGAGCATGGTCTTCCCAAAGGACTGTCAACCAATAAGCAGAGCTACATATGGGGCCCCATGGTCATGAACAGTATAAACACCCTGTGCTTTAGGTCAGGGTCTGATATTCAAGGAACTGAAAAGCAGGTTAGGTTAGGAGGTGAGGGTTGCATTTATTATCAAAGAACTCTTAGAGGTTTCTAAAGGTGGCATATGATAATAAACTAGTATTTTCAGAAAATGATTCTGGAGGTGATAAGCAGCCTGCATTATAGGAAAAGTACCTTCTGTTAGGGATATAAGCCAAGAGACTCAGATCTAATCTAGTTAAGAGGTGCTAAGAGCTTGCACTTGGGCTGTGAAAGATGGAGACAAAAACTGTAATCTGAGAAAGGGATATTTTAAGGAGAAAATTTCAAGTCTCAGTGATGGGTTAGCTATAGAAGATAAAGGTGAAAGACAAGAATAAAATAAATAGACTTACTACTCTATTTCCAGTTACTAGAAGCATGATGATACCATGTCTGATGGAGTTAGAATAGTTGCTATCAGCTTCATCTAGGATTTGGTGAGAATCAGGAGCACATGGTTCTGGATGATTTCAGAACTGGAACTGCTGTTCCAACTTCGGGCAATTATAGATCCCTCCCGAAGAATGGCATGAGTAATATTCATGCAGTGTCTTCTGAGAAACAGGAGTTGGGTTTTGTGACGCTACCTCATATTTTACCTAGGTTGGACTATGATAATAATTGTCAATTACTGGGCACTTACTATATATGAGGTTCTGTCCTAAACACATCTACTTATTGAATTATTATTAACAATACTATAATATAGATATCATCAACTCTATTTTACAAATTAGGAAATGACCCAAAACCTTTATATACCTGGTCCTTAATATCTTATTAGTTAGGTCATCTTATGACCATCTTCATAATCTGATCAGTCTGACTTCTAAGACTCAAGCCATTTCCAAAGGTAATATATAAAAGGAAGTAATAGAATTTGGAAAACTCTGAAATGAAGTCAACTTTCATTCTCTGTTTCTCTCTGCAATCTATTCCTCCTGAACTTCATTCAGATAGGCTTTCTTAAAGCTCCACATCGATGGTGTCATATTCCATCAATGTCACAACTTCTGCTAGCTCTTTGCTACACGAATAGCACTTTCTGGGATGTATGGAGACATAAGAAAAAAGGTTCAGTTTGTTTAAAAGCAAGCAGTAGTAGTAGGTGAGCATCAGTCAAGATCAAATCAACTTGACACTAAAATTTTCACACCGTGGTTAAAGAAGAAAGTATGAATTATACTAAATATTTTAGCAGCCAATTGAATTGCCACGTCATTAGTCTTGTACTGATTTATTTAGTGTAAGCAACAGGGAATATTTCGCTTTTGGAGAACAGGAAAAAAAAGGTTTATTTGCATTATGCTTATTTAATTTGTGCAGTTATTCAGTGTGTGGTAAGTTAATGTTCAAGAAAAATATAATTTTTATTAAAATATTCTATTATTTTATGTTAACAATTATTTCAGCCCTTTGCATTCAGCATGTTTCTACCAAAATAAACCTGCATTTCTATGAAAATTGGAGCTCTTGTTTTTTTTGCGGTACACACAAACTTTAAACATTATTTGGCCCGTTAGCCTTTGAGTTTGACATGCTTGGTTTAGACTGTGTTCTGCCATAGTGAACAGGTAAAATTATTTTTATGTACCCATTGATCCTTAGTTAAAAATAAGATGCTAGGGCCCATTGTCTGAACTGATTTAAACATAAAAATCCACAGATTTTTAAAAATTCTTATTCGAAAGTAGAACTCTTCTGTCTTGTAAAAAAAAAAGGGGGGGGGCCCTAATTTTTTGAAAAGTTGGGGCCAGGATCAAGACCAAATATAATTGTCTAACTGGTAAATGGTTGAACTAGAAATGTAGATTTTGGCGTCACAGATGAAAGAAACTATTAACACAAAAGAAATAAAATGAGAAAAACAAAATGGAATACAAAACGAAAATAATTTCAAAAATGCCTTATCAGTAGGGAAGCACCAGTAATGGAAACTTTGCAGAGAGTGGTTCCCACAGAATGGAGAGGGTGGAAGATAGACTTCATAATGATTAAATGCAGATAGGAGGAAAGGTATCAAATAATAAAAAAAAAATTTTGAAAGCTCTAAACCTTTGCTATCAGGAGAGGTACAATAGCAATGCATATTTTTAGTGTTCAAGGTGAGTATACATTTAAAACACTTTTTTTTTCAGGAAAAGAAAAAGAGTAAATTTAAAACAAGACATTTGAAATTTATGAAGAATGAGAAAATAACTTGAAATAAAAAAGAAATAAATCCTGATATTCTCTAGTTTCAGTTTCTGTTGAAAATGTAACTAGGAAAAAAGTAATTAGTGAAAGATGCAGTATACAGGGAAAATAAGGGGAGCAGGTTTCTACAAAATCTACATATTTCACAGAGATATAAGAAAAAATGACGATTTTTAATATGCATAATTAAAAAAAATAAAATCCTGGTTTCCTTAAAACTGTTGACTCAGCATGCTTGAATAATTCTTATATGTAATTTAAATCATTGTTGGACACCCTATTATAATGACTAAACACTTCAAAAAAATAAAACTGTTTTTCATAATCGAGGAAGTTTCAAATGTAAATACAATTTAGTATCTGAAAACAATTGAAGAAAATGTGTTCACTTTAAAAAGGTATTTAATTTTATTTTTTTGCCAAAATCGGTTTGGCTCAGTGGTAGAGCGTCAGTCTGCGGACTGAGGGGTCCCAGGTTTGATTCCGATGAAGGGCATGTACATTGGTTGCGGGCACATCCCCGGTAGGGGGTGTGCAGGAGGCAGCTGGTCGATGTTTCTCTCTCATTGACGTTTCTGGCTCTCTATCTCTCTCCCTTCCTCTCTGTAAAAAATCAATAAAATATATTTATTAAAAGGTATTTAATTTTATTTTTAAAAAGCAAGTCACAGTTTTTCTCATTAACCTATTTGTATCTGTGTTTATTGAAGAAAAAAAAATTAAATGGGGTGGAGGGAGTGAAGGACACTACAGAGGAACTCGTTTGCTTAACTGAGAGCTCCTACCTGTTTCATTCCCACAAAAGCAAGAACAAGTTGACCTCTAACAAGAGAGCTCCAACACTAGCTAGAAACCAAACAAAACAAAACCAATTGGAAAAATATACCCAGTCCTATAAATCATTTTTTTATTATGTTGTCGAAAATGGCTATTCTTGAAAATGGTCATTCTAATTAATCTCTAGAAAATAAAGATGAAACACTAGTGGAACCATTAAACAACTGTATTTATTCCAGAGGTTATTTGAAGTTGGCTTTAACAATCATGCAAACCAGGTGAAGTCCTAAAGTTTTCCAGGAAACACCAATTTGCCTCTTCTTTTTCTATTGTCAACACCATAAGTGAATTTACCTGTATATCTCTTATCTTTCATTTTATGATTGAACTAAGGGAACAGCATACCAGCATGTTGTAAAGAAGAAATAAATGAGTTCTTAGAAGCATGAATAACTAAATATGAACCCACTTGCCTCTCTACTTAGCCATGTAGTCAAGGTCAACTTGCTTAGCTTTCCTTGACCTTAGTATCTTGACTATAAAATTAAGCTTTGCATCACATTGTTCACTCTTCTACCCTTTTCAAAATCAGGGATTATGAGATTAAAATGAATTTACATATGTAAAACAGAAAACTACCAAAATAGGGTTTTGGAGGGGAGGGAAGGGGAAAAGAAGGGAGGGAAGATGAATTCTATCCAATCAGGATTCCATGCTCATTGCCCACTCCTGGCTGTGGCTCCACAGAGCACAATTTGCAAAGTGTATGACTAGTATTACCTCTGAGATTGTCACTAGCTCTAAAATTCTGGATTCTATGAAGACAAATCTGACTCCAAAACCTTATCGCTTTGGGAATCAGATGAAATAATGCTTAGTCTGAACTCAAGAGTGCTCTTCCAAGTTCAAGCTCTTGGAGCATTGTGATAGAGTCTTCAAAGGGAGTGTGGATTCTAGTGAGTGGATGTGTTTTCCAGTGTTACTCACTGTGATATGACACCATACACAATGCAGTCCTGTCAGGCCCTGGTAACATTTGACAGTTTTATGGCACTTATCACACTTGGTTGGGCAGTTGCCTTCAACCCAATAATGGTGCATGACCTAGAACAGAACAGGAGCGTGATGGTAAGAGGAGACTTCCATTAACCATAAAGACCACCCTCAGGAAGCCAGCCCTGCAACCCACTTACATCAGTGTTCTTCCTGGACTTCACATAGGTCTTGATGCAAGAAGGAGGCGCTCTGGCCACACAGCGCTCGTGCACAGTGTACTTGCAAACTGCAAGGGAACATGGACACAGATTCAGAGCTCATCCTGGCCCTGGTTGCTGTTTTATAGGAAAAGAATGACATTAACAGAATCTCATTTCATATCCACTGCTCCCTAATCAATCCAATCAGCCACATCAAGGAAAAGTCCAAGTGGACTGTTTCTACCATGGAATACAAAAGACCAATTAGCACAGGAAATATTATGCATGTGAAAAACCAAGACTCCTCTATCACGCCATAGCAGGAAATGCTTAATGAAATCAGAACGCCCTCAAATTTTTCACAATAACCTCCAGATGACAAAATATATGTATACATATATATTAAAGACAAATTGATGACTACCAAATGTCTTGGTGACATTTGCTAGAAAAAGAGATCTATATTTTATGAAGTATAGGCATGAGAGCAGCTGGCAGTCATGGGAATAAAAACCCATGAGTTTATGCTATTTGGTCTATTGATTTATCTAAACCTTAAATGGCTGATTAGTCTATTTCCAGACAATAGGTTTCATCATACAAGCCAGGCCTTTAGAAGCAGTCCATCCCTTTTCGTTTGTCCTCATGGCATTGTGTGTCCAAAAGGAACAGCCTTTGTGAGGCAGCATGTTATAAAAACACATGCACAAATGCAAAGAAAATGCATACTTATATGCAAATGTGCATCTATACACATAAAAACATTTCTATGTGTATGTACACATGTAAATTGTGACATAAAACCAAGACATATATTTCCTCGACATCTTCAAACTATTTCATGGCTTGGTTATGAAAATAACTTAGGGCTATATACAGTCCTTCTTTTAATAAAAGAGCAACTAAGAGTTCTAAATGTACAAATATATAGAATAAAAATTAAATAAAAAACAACCATGTAGCCCTCTTAATAAAACAAAAAAAAACTAACCACTGCATAAAATTAAAACAAAAAAGTCTAATCCACATAATATTTATATAGTAAATCTTTCCCATTTTATCCACATTTGCAACACTGAGGAAGAAAACATACCCTCTTTTTCTTTTTTTTTGTCTTCCATATGGACAATAATATGAAGAATACTGCATTTGCAACACTGGTCACTTAAAATTTGTTAGCAAAAATTCTCACCTTAATATCTCACCTTATTTGAAAGTTATTGTGTTTCCTATGCTCCTATCAATAAAATCTACCATGAAAAATATTTTTCCTTACAAATACTAGAACTTTAGAACAAAGTACTTCCCCTGCACATAGGGAATGTTCTATGAAACATGCCTTTCAAATGGAACCACCATTTAGAAGCTGAAGTCAACACCTGACAATTTTATGTAACTTAATAAAACCCTTAAACAAGAAAACACTTAAATGTGGCCCTGGACCATGTTTTTTAATGTGAGTTAATATATCTGAGAAAAAGTCTCAAATTCTCAAATATACTACCAAAGGAACTGCTTGCTAAAAATAATACCTGAAAATGACATATTGTATGGAAACCAAGTAAGAAATTAGATTTGATATAAACACACAAAAACAGCATGTGTTTAATACACTTGACAGTTCCATAGCCGAAAAGGGTGTGGATGGACAAATCACCTGACCAGAACAACTTCACACTTAGGTGAGGAGGACACAGCATACCCTCTGCTTAACAGAGGCATCAGGGGATATAGAAGTTTCTCAGACAGTCATGGTGCAGATTTTAAAACTCTTAGGTGACTTATAAATTAATTTTAAAGTAAACTATTAGAAAATTCTATTGGGTATGACTCAATAGAATACAATTAAAACTGAAGAAAAAATAAATCTACTGAATTAAAAATAACACCCACAACTCATGAACTGGCAATATTGGATATAGGTTAATATCCAATAACCTATGTGGTTAATGGATATTGGAATCCAAAGTTTCCTCAGAATGGCATTAAACATGATGTGCCTTCCTTGTAAGATTAGTCTGTATTTCTTGTGATTTCTTTCTCTTTTTTTAAAATATATTTTATTGATTTTTTACAGAGAGGAAGAGAGAGGGATAGAGAGTTAGAAACATCAATGAGAGAGAATCATCGATCAGCTGCCTCTTGCACACCCCCTACTGGGGATGTGCCCACAACCAAGGTACATGCCCTTGACCAGAATCAAACCCGGGACCTTTCAGTCCGCAGGCCGACTCTCTATCCATTGAGCCAAACCGGTCTTGGCAATTTTCTTGTGATTTCTTAATTTGAATGCAAAGTGAGACAATTAATTTACCTGTTTTTTTTTTTTTTTTTTTTAAAGACCTGAAGGAGCTGACTCATGATGAAAAATCAATGGAAATAAGGTGGCTAACTTATAAAGAAAGAAAAAAAGGAGAAAAGAAAAGGATATATCTGAAATAGGTATAAATAAGAGAAACTTATGGAAATTTTTATAATCATCTCAGTAGAAATGGAAACAATGAGTAACTTAAACTACAGGGGAAAGAATATGGCTAATGAACTGGAAAATATCCTTAGCATTTTTTCTAAGTGAGGGTTTCCTAAAACTAAGGAAAGTTCAAAGGAGAGTGGCCTCAACATTCAGAAATATACCACAAGGAAGTATAAGTCACAGTTACAGGAAGGGTCAGGACGTTCCCTATGTCTCCATCTATAAACGGGACATTTCCATCCATCTCCGCCTTTCCTTGCTGCGGTGAGGATGTCCAGGTGGGACAGCATACTCACAGGAGCAGCAGAGGCCCTGCTTGCCCACGCCGATCAGCATGTTCAGGCAGAGGTTGCAGTAGGCAGGCTTGTTAAAGTGCTTGAGTCTCCACACATGCTGTCCATCATCTTTCACGTTCTGCCCGGGACGTAAGAGAAACAGATTGCACTTAATGAAATAAACAGTGGAATATGTAACTGCCAATAAAACTCAGAGCTGGACTGAAGCACTTGAAGACAATCTGTTATTTCATCCTTGACTTTCTCCAAGGTCGCCACAGAGTCTAGAAAACCACATGTGCGCTGGTGGAATGAGATCCTGCTAACAAATCTTGGATGCTATAGCAACCCACACAATTTTTTGTCTCATGTCAGCGGTTCAACAGCATGTCCCAAACTGTCATGGTGACCTACCAATCGGAGGGATGTGTCTGCCTGGACTCTAAATACTTTCTCCTTAGTACAATCCCATAAACAAATAAATGAATAAAGAGAAATGAGTGAAAGAGCCTCACAAATGAAAGCGTGGAAAGAAAATGGTAGTGGGAATATGCAAATTTTATGTAGGTGGTCAGACCTTGTCAGAAGGCTGAAGGATGGGATAAGGAATAACACTTAAAGGTCAGTTATTTGTGCTAGTATTAGGCTATTCTATGGAATTCCTTACATGTTATAGTTTATATTAATATATTGTTGTATGTTTCCAAGAGTAAATTTTTTAATTTAACTTTTTAAAGACTTAAATTACATAATCATTGTTTCTCTTTTTTTTAAAAAATAAAGTATGAATAATTGTAATCTCATAGGAAGGTAGTAAAATATTAAAACCGTATTACTGCATTTATTTACAATAATCACTATAGTTATTTGCCACCATAAAACATTTTAGCAAAACAACTGCAATTATTATTTATTCTTCTACGTAAAAAAACTATATAATATCATAATAGCTACTTCTCTTAATAGGTATTTAATCACATCTGCATTGTTCAAGATTAAAGTAAAATGAAATGATGCTTATGAATGTCCTGAACTCTTTATGAGAAGTTTAAATGTATTAAGTAAACTTATTATACATCATTATTTTGTTAACAGTATTTTTTCTCATTAATATCTAGTCTTTATGTGTCATCCACCAAATTGTATCAAATTCAACTAATTTTAGATATCATTTATTGGTATTATATCAAAACTTTTAGAGGTCTTAAGTGGCCAAGTTGTAGTAAATTAATACTAAGAATTACATTAACCTAATAAATTTTTTGGGCACCTAAGATGTGCTGGGGCACATACTAACTCTCTAGCTGTGTGATAATATAAACATGTCCAGATCATCTTATTTCTCTTGATTAAAAAATACTTATGTTTCCTAGCCACTTTTTTCTTATTTCCAGTGAAGAGCTACACCACCAAATTGGTTGAAACCAATTAGATCCATAATAATTAGATCTCGGATTAGAACCAGAAATGTCAAATTTGCATCAGAACATGAAACATTAGTGGAACTGCTTCCTGGGAGATGGTGCTCCATGGGCCTCTTACGTTTCTGTACATTTTGTAAGCAGAAAAACTCTTTCTTTTCTCCCCAGACTATCTTTTCAAAGATGTTTGATTAACAAACAGCTCTAAACCAGGAGTTGTGTGTCCCTCCAGAGCAGAGGGTAGGTTAAAATAAAATCAACATCTCATCCATCTCAGCAAAGGTTAAGCAGGTTTATTTCCTATACAACATAAAAAAACTTAGTTTTCCTAAAGCATGGTTCCAAGCTCTGGTGGTCCGCACAGGAATTACGTGGGCTGGACTCTGTCACCTTCTGAGACTTCGTGGGCCCAGAGGGCCGGCTCAGGCAAGAAGCTCCTGCTTGCTTCGCTGTGAGCTAACATGTCCTTAGACTCTGACCCAGGAGTTCCATGTTCTCTGTTAGCATCCGGAATGAAACTGACAAGCTTACTTGTGAACTTGCAAGGAGGCTAACATTTCAGACCCCTCCCAGTTCTTGACAATGCTGATTCATGGTTCCGACAAAGGAGAGGCAAGCTCTCCACAAAAGCACTTATGCAGAAGGTGTCACAGAGGGGGCTTCAGGAAACATAAGTGTCTCAATTTTCTCCCAAAACATACGAAGTAGGCTTTGTAGCAATTTCTGGACCCAGTACTGGTTTGCTTTGAGTCATAAGATTTCTAGTATATTTATCATAGGAACAGAATGCTTTCTATAACTGTTTAACTTTGCTATATTTTTCCAAACTGTTTATGTTTTTAAGAATAAAACATCCTGATGTGAAAAATTTAAGTAATGAGGTTGTTAATTTTTCAAAAACATATTGATAAAGCTAATGGTTTCATGTTTAAAAAACATATTAAGTGAAAAGAAGAAAGGAAAAACTAAATTTTCATATGTATTGCTGTTCTTATCATCCTTGTCATTTTATTTTTAAATGATTGTCCATTACATGGGAATTAGCCTCATTCTGTTGAAGAGCACATATGGACTAAGTTAGCTGGCATTTTCCTTATCAAAAATAAACAAGTCTGAGCGTGGGTGTTCTGTCAATCAGAACACTTAGCCATGCTACAGGCAGCATGTGATGTACAAATCCATTACCCAGACGTAAAACGCCTCACAAAAAAAAAAACAACACAAATTAAATAGCTTTATAGCTCTTAGCTGGATATATTGCCAAAATATGCAAAAGATGAAATATGTATGTGACTTCAAGAGGAGAAATTGAAACCAGGAGCCAACTGCTTCTCAGCAGTGCAAATTATGCTCCAACTCTCTGTATTTTCATGTCTTGTCTTGTTTGTCTTATTAAGATTATAAACTTGGTGGGGGGAGGAGAATATGTTCCTTGTTATATGCTATCCGCCAGTTGAGCATGTTCCTATTAGTACTTCTGTTGCAAATAAATATTTATTGTCACAGAAAAGAATTACGTTTCTTAAAAGATATATTTTATTGATTTTTTTACAGAGAGGAAGGAAGAGGGATAGAGAGCTAGAAACATTGATGAGAGAGAAACACATCGACCAGCTGCCTCCTGCACACCCCCTAATGGGGATGTGCCCACAACCAAGGTACATGCCCTTGACCGGAATCGAACCCAGGACCTTTCAGTCCTCAGACCAACGCTCTACCCACTGAGCCAAACCAGTTTCAGAAAGAATTAGTTTTATAAGAAAGAAAAGGGGAGGCGATGTGGAAGGCTTGATTCCTGGCCTCCTCTGAAAATGTGGGTAAGCCATTTCACCCTTCTTGTCTTCCTCTCTAATGAAGGAAAGCATCCACTTTCCTCTCCCAGGCCATGGGGTGGGCTTTCATTACGCAATACCTGTGAAGTCAATTTAGCTCCTCAGAAGCCTGGTGTTATATAACCAGCAAATATGATCAATGTTATTGGGTTGAGCTTAGTAACATTCTCATGTTTTAGCCAAAAGAGTTCAGAAGGATGTTTGTAGGCTTACCATACTTTATTTCATAAAAAAAATCTTGTTCTTACAGAAATGCCTTCGTAATATTTATAAAATACTGTACTTTACAAAGAAGCAGCTCTGTGATGTGGTTGTGATAGACACATGCTCGATGAAAAGGAGGCAAGATCACAGGAAGCACCGGGTCTTCCTCTCTTTTTAATCCCCTAGAAGTCAAACGGAGGTTTCCAAGGACATATGCCCTTTGCAACTTTTGAAATGTATTTCATTATCAATAGTAAGGTCTAAAGTTTTCGTTGTTTTTTTCTTCTCCCCTGAATACATACATTCAAGATCACATATAGTGTTCAACTGTACTAGGACTATTGTAAATAACTCGAGGCCTGGTGCATGAAATTCATGCATGGGGTTGGGGAGGAGGATGTTCCTCAGCCCAGTCTGCACCCTCTCACAATCCGGGACTGCTGGCTCTAACTGCTCACCTGCCTGCCTTCCTAATTGTCCCTAACTTCTTCTGCCTGCCAGTCTGATCACACCCTAACCACTTTCCTGCCAGCTTGATTGTTACTAAATGCCCTCTCCTGCAGGCCTGGTCACCCCTACCTGCTCTCCCCTGCAGGCCTGGGTTCCCCCCAACTGACCTTCCTTGTAGGCCCAGTCGCCCCCAACTTCCTTCCTCTGTCTGCCTGGAAACCCCTAACTGCCCTCCCCTGCAGGCTTGATCACCCCCAACTGCCCTTCCTTGCGGTCTGGTCCCTCCCAACTGCCCTCCCTTGCTGGCCATCTTGTGGTGGCCATCTTGTGTTCACATGGGGGCAGCCATCTTGTGTGTTGGAGTGATGGTCAATTTGCATATTCCTCTTTTATTAGATAGGATAAAGGCCTGGTGCATGTGGTTGGAGAAGGACCCAGACCAGATTTCACAATCCCAACATCCAAAAATTAAAAATGTAACTGCCATTTGACTCAGTGATCCCACTCCTAGGAATATATCCTAAGAAGCCTGAAATCCCAAGCAGAAAGATTATATGTACCTATGTTCACAGCAGTGTTATTTACAATAGCTAAGCTCTGGAAACAGCACAAGTGCCCATATGTAGATAAGTAAAATAGATGTGGTACATTTACATATGGAATAGTATGCAGCTTTAAAAAGGAAGGAGCTCTTAATCTTTGAGACAACATGGAGGGACCTGGAAAGTATTATGCTAAGCAAAATGAGCCAGTCAGAGAAAGACAAGCATCACATGATCTCACTCATATGTGGAATTTAATGAACAAAATAAACTTACAAACAAAATAGATCCAGAGGCATAGAAGCATGGGGTATAGACTGATTCTCAGAGGGAAAGTGGGAGGTAGAGTGGAAAGAGATTAACCAAATAACTCATATGCCTATATGCATAACCCATGGACAAAGACAACAATGCGCTGAAGAACTGGGGTTGGGAGGGGAGAAAGGAGGAGAGGGGTGAGAGGAAAAGATGGGCATTTATAATACTTTCAACAATAAAGATAAATTTTTAAAATTTAAAAGAAAAGAACATCTTTATGTTTATAATATGACAGATAAATGATATAATAAATCAGGGGTTAGCAAACTATGGCTCTTGGGTTAAAACTGGCCATCAACCTATTTTTGAAAATAGTTCACTGAATCACAGTCATGCTTTTTTATTTATGGAGTATCTGTGCTTGCTTTTGCTCTGAGCTGTACAGTTGAGTAGATGCAACCTCTATCCCACAAAGCCCAAGTTATGAATGAACTAACTGCCCCTTTATAAAGATGGCCAAACATTGGAGCAGAGTTTCTTACAAAATACAGCAGTTGTTTTTTATTTTTATTTTTTTAATATATTTTATTGATTTTTTACAGAGAGGAAGGGAGAAGAATAGAGAGCAAGAAACATCGATGAGAGAGAAACATCGACCAGCTGCCTACTGCACACCCCCCACTGGGGATGTGCCCACAACCAAGGTACATGCCCTTGACCGGAATCGAACCTGGGACCTTTCAGTCTGCAGACCAACGCTCTATCCACTGAGCCAAACCGGCCTCGGCTGTTTTTTTTTTTTTTTTTTTTTAATTCATTCAAAATTGAGATTTTTTTTAACAAGACAAATACCAGAGAAAGAATAAGTCTCAGGTATAAATTTTTATTGTAATCAAAATTACACATGCCATGCAAACTCTCTATTTCCCAGCAGATCTAAGAGGCTGTACCACTTCATATGGAATATCATAAAGTTTGAGGGGCTTCTTCTAAGAGAGAGGAAATGACTCTTAACTCTCAATCATTTGTTCTGACATGTTCTGATAGACTACATTTCTGGCCCAGCTATGATTTAAAATAGAGTAGCTTTTAAAAGTTGGTTAATGGAGAAAAATAAATGACAATAAAACCACAGCTGCTCTGCCTTATATTAGAAGTGAGGATTACTCTCCCAGGGCAATCCTCTTATCTGTGTAATTTGGCTAGTACACCACAGTCCCTTTCAAATACACTGTGGGACTTAACATGCAATGTCAATTAGAATCTACTCCCTGAACTCATAATTGACAACAGACACGGATATCTAGGACAACATAACAAGACTGGCCCCAGACTCAATGGCTGAGTTCAACCCAAAGCTTCTAGAGTTCCAATTTGATAAGCAAAAGTGTATGGGGGGCGGGGGAGAGAGAAGGATGGCTCAGAGGGAAATGACAGCATGAATCAAATTCCCTGCAGGTAATAACATAACACATTAACTGCCTGCATAAAAGGAAATAAATCTCAATTACAAAAAAAAAAAAAAAAAAAAAAAAAGGCCCCCTTACTGTGTCATTCCTGCTTTGTAAAAACACGGTGCCTTGGGATTCAAAAGCAGTTCCTAACAAGTAGATGCTCTGTTTTGCGGTCATAATAACTACATGGCTTATGAATTTTTATTAAATAAAAATTTAAAGGATTGTTGGCTTATTGTCTTTTAAAAACTAGAGGAGAAGGGATGATGTTCTTAGAATTGTTTAGTACAGGGCGAATCTGATCTTGGTGGTTGAACATAAATGTTAAATAATGTAGCCCTGCCCTCCAGTGGCCATCACTGGGAATACAGCTTTGAGCACATTTGGTTACTTAACTTTGAAACCCTAACTTACTTTTTTCCTATCAAGCTCCCAAAACTGGTCTTTTGATGAAACTAAAAAGTATCAATTTAATAACATGATTATAATAAAGTAAATTATGTATAACCAGTATCCTGATGAACATTTATTGCAAATAAATTTACTGCTGTGCTAGAAACTGATAAGGTATTGTATATTTGTTTAAAATATTTTGAGGTAAATCCATATAGATTGGGGACTATATTTAGCCACGCTACCTCACAACTTCACAAATACCTATATTTCTGAATCAAATTATAAAGAGTTGTTTTCAAAGAAAAACATTTCAAAATCTTTCTTGATATTTAAAATATAGATGATTTGGTCTTCTTTTATGCACTTTCCTATCCAACCCTTCAACTATCAAATGAATGACTTACTCATTCCTTCATCTTCTCTCATTAGCTCATACTAGAATTTTCTTTTTTTTAAAATATATTTTATTGATTTTGTACAGAGAGGAAGGGAGAGAGATAGCGAGTTAGAAACATCGATGAGAGAGAGTCATTGATCAGCTGCCTCTTGCACACCCCCTGCTGGGGATGTGCCCGCAACCAAGGCACATGCCCTTGACCAGAATTGAACCCGGGGCCCCTCAGTCCCCAAGCCGACGCTCTATCCACTGAGCCAAACTGGTTTCGGCTCATACTAGAATTTTCATCAATGTTTAGAATAAGCAAAACTTTAGCTTTAAAATATGAAAATTTCCTCCTGTCAAACTTTTTGTTTTCTCCCAATAGTCTTATTTCATATTTATTGGTTACTTTTATTCCCCTAAACCAGTGTTTCATTACCACTGGAGGCACTTATATAAGAACATTTTTGATAGGCATGGAACAAAAACCTGACTGATCTGCTCATATGTAAGAAAAAAAGTGTGTGTGTATGTGTGTGTGTGTGTGTGTGTATATCCTCTTAACCATCTTGATATATAATTATCTCCTCCAAGTATTATTTATAAACTAAGTAGATTATCTTCCTGTGGAGGGGAGAGGCTCTATGGTGTGGGATGAAGAACCACAGAATGCAGTAATATTGGGGTTTCTTGTATTAGATAAAATGAGATAGTCAATAATGTTAGTAAACTAGATTACACTTTAAACCAGGGGTGGGGGGGAAAGAGAGACGTTAAACATTATGACAAGTATTCTACACAGGAGTTACTGTCCAATTGCCCTGGGGCATACCTATTGAAAGGTCCAGGCACCTATTACATGCTTAGTGGTTAAGAAAATAGCCAGGTCAATTCATTACCAAAATGGATGAGAATTCCAGACTTAGCACCAAGGCACCCGCTCAGGGAAAATGCTTACGTTTTCCAAGCCTAGGAGCACAAGAAGTGGGATTGTGGTCATTCCTCCTTGGATCCATTCCTCCAAAGAAACGGTCCCATCATGATCATAGTCAATCTCTTCCATCATTTCATGAAGGATCTGAAGCAGAGGAGAAGAAAGCCTTGCAATAAATCAATAAAATACATCTCAGATGCTACAACAAAAAATGACATTGGACTGGTTGTAACTGTGACAAGCAGCGAAGTAGAGAGTTGAGATAAATATCTAGGTTATAATAATGTTGTACAATATTAATCCTATTACTGGGAATATAGTGGCTTTGTTATGATTTCCAGAACCTGACTACTTTCACTGATCAACTTTGAAAAAGAACTGCTCAACTTTTTAATATGTCATCACTGAATAGTACAGCTAAATCAAGAAGGTATCTTTCATTTAAAAGTAAAAATGAAATTGCTTTCTTTCAATTATTTTTTTAATTCAAATATATGCTAGATAATGTCTGAACAAATTAGCTTCATGACAAAGAGCTGAAAGAATTCTTTGCTAAGTGATACAAGGTGGGGAAATGAAGTTGCATTTAATTGCCTATCAGATCTTAATAGAGCCAAGAAGTTAAACAATCAAGTCCTTTTTTTATTAGATTCCCCCCCCCTAAAGATGGCTTGTACAAAATGTCCCAAAATGTTCTCCACTGTCTATGTTACCCTGTTTCCCCGAAAATAAGACAGAGTCTTATGTTAATTTTTGTTCCCAAAGATGCGCTAGATCTTATTTTCAGGGGATGTCTTATTTTTCCATGCCCTAGGTCTTATTTTCGGAGGATGTCTTATTTTCGGGGAAACATGGTAGTAATACCCTTGGTTGTATAACAGTAATAACAATATTAGATTCAAAATTTGTTGTAAGGATTAAATATGCTAATATAAGTATATTTAAAGAGCATCTGGCATATATATTTAGTGTGATATAGGCATTATTAGTGTTATATTTTTTGGAAATTATATGTGAGTAACGAATATTTCCACTGACTTTGGGTACTCAAAGTATTTGTCATCTAAGTTGTCTTCCCTCAGAAAGTATGTGAAAATCAGATTCTTTTCCGTCAGAACAAACTAACAAGTGTTGGGAGAAAATGTTTTTGGAATAAAATGGTGGTGAACTAATTATTTCATTATTCTCAAGATGAAACTCAGCAGAAATTATCCAGAATTTGGCAAATAGCATAAGATCTTGTTAAAATGCCCTGCCCCACCCTAGTTGGTGGTGCTCAGTGGGTCGAAAGGCAGCCTGCGCTCAATTCCTTATTAAGGGCATGTACCTGGGTTGTAGGTTCAATCCCCAGGGCACATTCAGGAGGAAACCAATCCATGTGTCTCTCACATTAATGTTTCTCTCTGTCTCTCTGTTCCCCCACCCCCACAATGTTTCTATAAAAATCATATATATTGGTCAGATTATTATGATCTCTGAACACATAATAATCTGGCTACTCAGTGTATATCCTATATAATAAAAAGCTAATATGCAAATTGTCCCCTCGACCAGGAGTTCAACCAGCAGGCAAGCCAGCCAACTGCTCATGTCCCCTCCCCCTGGCCAGGCTGGCCGGACCCCACCCATGCACAAATTCATGTACAGGGCCTCTAATATATATGCATTCAGAGATCACAATATGCGTTCAGAGATGAGAGTAATCTGGCCAATCAATGTATTTATCTCCTGCCCTGGAAGGCACTCTGGTGAACTAGGAGAAATGAATAAATGAGCAGAGAACCAAAATACAGAGCATTTGATTCAGATGCCTGATGCTTTCATTTTCTGCCTAATATATGGTTTGTTAAAAGCAGCGTTAGGTCTCTTCCCCCCTGACCCCCCCCAACCCCCCCGTCATTTCTTCCAAAGATTTCAGTCTTTCCTACTACCTGCCATAGAGCTCAGATGTTTAGTTTTCTTTATTTATACACACACACTTACCAGGGGTCTGACAATGTGCACAAGAGCACACACCTTTAAAACAGGGAGAGCTGACAAATCATCAGGGAGGATGAGGCAGTTCCGGAGATGGCAAACACAAGGCACAGCTAAGCCTTTTTACCTCGACTTTCTACTATTTATACCAGCCAGAGAAATGACAGGTTATCTGGGTGTGCCACAAAAGACAAATAATGCTATATACTTTACTTACTGTATTTTCCTGCAGGTATTTATCATAGAGTGCCTAGACACCAAACTGTTCCCTTCCTTAGACCATCCAGGCCCCCTTTCTTCAAATCTATGCCTCTCCCTACAAATATTTGGTTGGCAAGTGGTGGAGCTCACTTCTGCTTTAAAAACTGATAGAAAATTATGCCCCTTCCCTCTACCACTCCAGTGAGGACAAGAGGCTTGACTGATAGATAATGTTCTCAGGTATTAAGGCAAATGGGATGGGGAAAGTTGGGTTAGATTACCAAAACCAAAGAGGACAACAGAATGTGTAAGTCTCTGGTGTCAGTGCAAATAGTATTAAGATGAATCAAGCAGAATTCTTAGAATTAGATACATGTTACCGTAAGCTTTCGTCTTCCATGTACAAACTACATTGTTATGCACCTGAATTCACTGTGTAGAGAATGTGCATTTCCACATCCCCCAAAAAGAAAAAATCAGTTAACACTTGAGAAGCCATGTGCCAGCAAGAATGGTGCTCTCATGGCATTTCATGTGACCTTGGTGTACTTTACTGGCAAGAGTTTGCAAAGCAAGAAAATTCCATCACAGCTCTCACATCCTCTCCTCATGCCATTATCATGCTATTAACTGCATAAATGTGAACAGTGTTTGAAGAATAGGCCTTTGAATTCAAATAAACTGTGAATCATTTAAATACAATTGATCTGGATTTGCTTAAATCATGTACATGTTGCTTAACTTGGTTGGCTTCAAAAATAAACTAAAAATCAGTAACACTTACTAACTCTCCCTAAAATATTACTTTTGTCTAAAGGCAGTTTCTAATTAAGTATGTTTTAATATACATTTGAAGTATGCTGTAACTTTGGTATAAACCTATTAAAAATAATAAGTTTTTTATGTGCTATAAGCATTGATGGATACTATTTCTTTAAATGATTTGATTAAAATCCTAGCCCTGAGTGAAAAGGTTTGTACAAGTAACTTTAACATTTTGGGATCTCAATTTCTTCATCCAAACAATGAATAAAATACTAGTATTTACTTCAGAAGGTTGCAAGCATTAAATAATACATATACAAAAGGTAGTACAATACACTGTGCACAGTAAGCTATCACCATAGACTTCTTTTAGTTTTTTAAAAGATTTTAAATTGATTTTTACAGAGAGGAGAGGAAAGGGAGAAGGAGAAACATTCAAGTGAGAGGGAAGCAACGATAGGCTGCCTCCTGCATGCCCCCTACTGCAGATGGAGCCCGCAACCCTGGCATGTTTCCTGAATGGGAACCAAACCAGCCACCCGCTGGTGCACTGAGCCATGCCAGCCAGGGCCATCATATGAATCACCTTCATACTCCTTTATAACAATTACTTTACCAATTTCCACATGTCAATTCCAGCTGTTTGGTGGCATGGCATGACAGTGGCAGGGTCTGCCAGCAGCTCTATTTCTCTACACATTTGTAAGACCACCATTCACATTCATTTCCACAAGGAAAAAAAGTTAAAAAATTCAGAACATATACTCTCCTCATTCAGGACCCACTTTGACTACTAATCTATAATAATAAAAGTCTAATATGCTAATTAGACCAGACAGTTGAATGGCCTTCCAGATGTCATTCCACACAACCTTCCAGATGACCTTCCGGATGAAGCCATGGCAGCCAGGGCTGAGGCAGAGGTGTTTAGGGGCAATCAGGCAGTTTCCGGTTAGGGGTGATCAGGAAGGCAGGCAGGTGAGCAATTAGGAGCCAGCAGTCCTGGATTACTAGAGAGTGCAGGCCAGGCTGAGAAACCCTCTCCTCAGTGCACAATTTTGTACATCGGGCCTCTAGTTAGAAATAATATCTTAGAGTGATCAAGAAAAACCAAATGACAGTAATTTATTATGGTTCCGAGAGAGAGAGAGAGAGAGAGAGAGAGAGAGAGAGAGAGAGAGAGAGAGAGAGAGAGGAGGGGGGGGAGGCACTATCTAGAATTTAGCCAACAGTTAAATCATTGGTATACCTACTGGATTAAGTTCAGTGACATCCCATTCAAGGTATTCTGCCACATGCATCATCTGGCTGATGATGTTTTCTAATTCCTGGAGCAGAGAGAAAGGAAGTCAATGCAAAGACTTAACAAATTCTTTGACTTAGAGGAATTATTGGTTCAACCTGTTCCTCAAAAACTAAGAGTTATAAGATTAATCATATAAATATTATAAAGGTCTCATTATACATAAAACAAGAGCGCAAATATAAACTCATTTTGTACTTGGTGTAGAAATCTATACCAGAAGAGGGCACAATTATACACAGAAAGAGTTTCTTCCAGTAAAAAAAAAAAAAATAATGATAACAGAAAAACTCTTTGGACAGGAGCATCTGCTGAAAGTAGGAGCATGCATATTTCCACAAGATGTGACTTTTAAATCACTGAGTAACCTGATCTTTTGGCTTGAAAGCAGGTGTGGAAGGAAGGGTCTGAGGGCAATGGAGAGGTTTATTTTTATTCTGATACACTGAGAATGCATACCAACTGTTCTAGCCATTTATTAGAATAATTTGCTCTATTAGAAGAGTCTTCAGGGTCAAGATGGGGAGGCTAAGTATGTGTAGAGTTTATTTTATGAGGGGATAGAATTTTAGTTTGAATTTTCACATTATTCTTCTCAAATGTCCACTCTTTGAAGAACTGCTAGTAAATACATATGGCTTTGCTACATAAATTAAAACATTTTATGCCCATTTATTTAATGTTTTAATTTCTTCCCATCTCCAGAAAAGCTTAAAGGCACATTGTAATGCTAATAATTCTTAATGTATTCAATGACATAATTAAGAGTGGTGCTACATAGTCTGACAATTTAAACTTTAAGTATAAAAGACTAATACTTAAAGTATATTAATCAAAGATCATCCTATTAAAATTTCTGATCTAATGTACGCAGTTAGTATTCATGAGTCAGGATGGAATATGGTAGAGAGGTTTTGGGGGGCCATGAATCCCTCTGATAAAAGCTATACTCTCACCAGAAAAGATATAATAATAAAAATACTATTTATGTAACAAGAGTCACCTCAGAAACAATACAAATATACGTGTATTTATTTACTACAGATAAAAAAATTAAAACACACATCCCTTGGAATTAGAGGCTACATTTTACATGTGTTGCTATCTTTCACTTACAATATTTTTTATTTATGTATGCCTTAATGGTTTGGAATGGTTAAATCTCTGGATATGTTTTTAAAGAATGGAAACTATTTTTGGTGGACTATTATGTAGGTTTGTGACATTAGCTAAGTCACTTAACCTCTCTTAGACTCAGTTTTTTTTAGTGTGTGGGTGTGTGTGTTGTTGTTTTTTTAATCCTCCACGGAGGATATTTTTCCACTGGCTTTTTAGAGAGAGTGGAAGAGAGAGGGAAAGACAGAGAGAAATACCCATGTGATGGAAACACATGGATTGATTACCTCTTGCATGAGCCTCAACCAGGGCCCAGGCTGGGGAGAACCCTGAAACCAAGGTATTTGCCCTTGACCAGAATCGAACCCGGGATTCTTTGATCCTCAGGCTGATGCTCTATCTACTGAGCCAAACCAGCGAGGGCTAGACTCAGTTTCTCAATCAGTAAACATATTATTGTTGTAATTCTAATCTTACCTAGTTTTAAAATTGTTGTTACATAAAATGCATTTATCTTGTCTGATTGCAAGTGATCAATAAACATTAACTAGTGTTATTTAGACATAGTGGACATTTTTCAAAGTGTCAATTTTCCTCTGTTTTGCCTTCAATCTGTAAACTGCTACATCTTTAAATTTCTAAAAAAAAAAAAAAAATGACATCAGAAGATGCAATTTCATGCTACTATTGAAGGAAATGAAGCAGGAAAATAAATGAAGCAGGAGAAAACTATAGAAATTAAAACTAGACTTTTAATTACAAAAGAAACAAACTAGTTTTATCATAAACAAATGTATTTACATCCAACTCATTGTTTAATATTGTAAATATAGCAACAATTATTTGCTAGTAATTTGCTATATGTTAAAAATAATGGCAGAGATCAAAAAAAGTATTTGATTAAATGTTTAAATCAGCTGCCAACCCATGGCTAAAAGCCTAGTGAAGAAACATTCTTATAATTTAATTAAAAAGAAACATTATATAAAACAGAGCAGCAGTAAAAAATGTAATTTGCATTAGTATAGTCAGAAGTGCTACAATAAGCATATTGAAATATCTAGAAAAAATACCTAAACTCCTAGCTGTGAAATGCCACCAGAAAATGAGCAAATGTGTCATGTAGCTTAATATTCCCAAATAGGAAAATAAACACTACTAGGTACATAACAGTAGGAGCATTTGAAAATATAGAGACATTTAAACATAGGATATCCTGCAGTTATCACATCAATTCAGATTGGTGTTCATTTCCTAGAGAGGAACTGTATATGTTTATTGTTCTCAGGAGATACTAATGTACCATTGTCCTACTGAGTGTTACAGAAGTACGTCTCCAACTTCACTGCTTTGTGTGTAAAATGCCTGTTTGAGCTCTAGCAAAGGAGAACACCTGATGATGAGAGACCCTCATTATCTGAAATGTCTATTTTAATTGGTGTTAATTATATCAAATTATAGTCCCAATGCCTGAAGATTTATGCAAAAATGGGCCTTCCTTCCCCTGGCTGCCAGCACCACCTTAACTTAGGCCCAAACTGCCTTTCTGCCTTTCTCTGGCCCAGAGCCACCTTTCTGCCTTCCCATGCTGCCCAGAAGCCCAGAGTGGCTGGGGCAGTGAGCAATGCCTGTGTTGTCACCATAGCGACAATGCAAGTGTCCAGGCCCTGGCCACTCAGCTCCTGCATATGCAAATTAACACAACATCTGTATTGGGTTAATTTGCATACTCACTCCTGATTGGCTGGTGGGTCAATTTGCATCTTTCTCTTTTATTAGTGTAGATCATTTGTTTTTCAAAGTGCCTGAGTACCCACGGAGGGACCTAGAGAATACTGTGCTGAACAAAATAAGCCAATCAGAGAAAGATACATATCCCATGTTCTCACTTATCTGTGGAATTGAATGAAAAAAATAAATTGACAAAACAGGTCCAGAGACATGGAGGCATGAAACAGACTGATGAATCTCAGTGGGAAGGAGGGACTGGGTGCTGGGGGGGAGGGAAGGGTGAGGACAAGAGGGTGTTGGGGAGGGAAAGACAGCAGGAAGAGGTTAACCAAAGAACTTACATGCATATTTGCATAACCCATGTTCACAGACAATAGTGTGGTGAAGGTTAGAGGAGGGGGCTGAAGGGGAAATGGGAGGAGGGGGTCATTGGGGATAGGGGACATTTATAATACTTTCAACAATAAAGAACAGGAAATAAGGCAATATGCAAAATATGTTAATAGCAAATAAAAATATATTATTGGATGTAACCTAAGATAGATATACAGATGAATCCTTGACTTGTGCAGTGGAACTGAGCCTAACTTCTCTTTTGGAATAAATTAAGTGTAAAATACACATTTAATTATTTATTTCAGTTAAATCATACATAGATGGTATTTTTCTCCTATTGCTTTTTATATCTAAACTATAGAGTATGCAAGTTGCATTTAAAATTGAATGAGACATTTTAAAAAGGGAAGTTGGTCAAAGCAATTTGTAAATACATTTAGCTATTTCAACAGCATAAATGATTAAAAATAGTTTTTAAAAGTAGGAAAATAGCCCGGCTAGTGTTGCTCATTACTTGAGCGTTGACCTATGAACCAGGAGGTCACAGCTCCATTCCCAGCCGGGGTTGTGGGCTCCATCCCCTGTAGGAGACATGCATGAGGCAGCTGATCAATGATTCTCTCTTATCATTGATGGTTCTCTCTCCCTCCCTCTCTTTTCCTCTCTGAAATCAAAAACACATTTTAAATAAAATAAAAAGAAAAGAATAAAGTGACTTTAAAATTCCTTTAAATTCTACTTGTATTCTCAGTATTATCACTGGTGTCAAATCTCACTTTTTTCTTTGTAGATCAATGGGCCCTCAACTTTCTCATGTTTAATTCAAATAAGTTAGTCTTTTTTTTTCTAATCTTTCAGTGCATAGCATTTATGTAGTAAAATTATTCCGTAGATAAATTGTGATCCTAACAGTTTTCTCAGGCCATTCTCTTTCAAAATGTCACTTGATAAATATATGCGCAAGTGCATGAAAATTATATTAAGCATGTCTTCTGTGGTAATAGCTATAAATTTATTCATTGCATTTTTTTCTGAACCAACTACTTCAAAATTTTCACAGGATATTTGAAGAAAAACATTACCGAGCTGTCCAGGAAGCCATTCCCATCCGTGTCATAGAGGCGGAACATAACTAGAAATAAAAGAGATGTTGAAAATATGATTATAGGTGAGTAAAATCAATGTTATTATAAGGCATATTCTTTAAAACTTTATTTTCCATTGAAAACGAATACTAAATCCCTCCCTTATTCAAAGCAATTAGTGAGATCATTTCTCAACTGAAATTGAAAACAAGTTAGCTAGTTAAAAATACTGTCTATCAGATATAAATTCTATCAATGTTATATATTTAGACAATACCATTGCTTGTTCAAATTCTTTATTACAAGATCATTAACTGGAAACTCAAAAATAACAAAAGAGAAGGAATTTAGACATTCAGAGTCTGGACATTAAGATATAACTGACTCAAAGGACTGGAAATCAATTATAATTTAAGATCTACCATCCACTATTATGTGAACTTATATGGGCTTCTCAAACCCTGTTTTCCTCTCTGCAAAAAAGAATCCTCACCCTGTCATAAGACACACATGTGCTGGGAAATGATGCACCCAAATGCCTATCAAAACCCAGAGGTCACTACACAAATATAAGCCATTATATTGATTGACCCCCAAGCAATATGAGAAAGGAAGGAATGTTGCAAAATCAGAAAATTTTTCTGATGGATGATGACAAGAGATAAAATGCATTATTATTATGGCTATCATGTTGTGTTTAAGTCTGAGATATCGTTTTGTAGAGTAGCCACTCTTTGAATTGGTCAAGTAAAGAGATGGCGTGTTGGCTTTGAGGTAGTGAGCTCAGGAAAGCAGGATGGCAGAGTCCCTGACTGGCCTCAGGATTCCCTTGTATAATTCACACTCCACTAGGAGACTACGGAAGTGGCTGCAGGTGCCGTACTGAGATAAACAAAGAAAATGACCCAGCTGAAAAAATAGACAAGTGGAAGTGAAGGTTTGTGTTGGGTTTGCATAATTTCCTGTGGAATCTTGATGTCCATAGTATCAAATGAAGACACTGATCACTAGGAAGCATAGTTACACAATGACCTTGATCATATATTTGTAACTAATTTTTATTTTTGTATTTTAAATCATTATTATGGCTCACAAATTCTAAGATATGAGTATTTATCAGATGCAAACTAGTCTGCAGATCACTAAAAGGGAAAAAATGCTCCCAATCTATCATATTCTATTTATGGTCAAATGCAAATAGTCTTTAAAGATGTTAAAATGCAATGGAAATGTGTACCTATTGAATTACGAAAAATAGTAAGCTGGCTAAGAGACGTAAATGTCTTTTAGCCATTTGTGCAAACAATGATGACTGTTCTCTCTCATATACTCAATAAGTGAGAATAAAATTCAGGGGGGAAAGTATCTATCACCACAAGGCTGCTGAGCATTTCAAGATTTTCTAGTGTAACACAAATTGGTAAAAAATAATTATTCAAGTCAAGGAACAGAATTATTATTGGTAACTAATTATTCAAGACAAGAAATAGAATTATTATTAACACAGCCAAAATCCTCTCATGCTCCCCCATCTTTATTTCTTCTCCCCTTTACAAAGTTAACCACTATTTTGGACTTTTATATGCATTCATTTGATGTCACCATCACTTACTGAATATAATGCTACTGATGGTCATCTGTATTGGTGTGTATAGTATTAATTCGTTCATTTTCTTTTCTACCTATTTATTCAACGTATAAAAGCATTACAGTATTTTCATTCTAAACTTAAGAGATATTCAGGTTGTCCCTGTTTGCTATTTCTAGTAAAGCTAGTGTTATTTTAAAAAAAGTTCTGCTAGAAATTACATTTTCCAGTTGGTTACACACCAGTAAAAGATTTGCCTGGGTCTTAGGATTTGCAAATATTTATTTTTAGTAATATTGCCAACATTTCAGAAGTGATTTGACCAAACCAGATTCTAAACAGCAGTCAATAAGGGTTTGGGTTGTTCCTTAGCCTCACAGCACCGGGTGTTGCCACTCTAACCTAAGCCATTCTGATGAAGGTATTGTGTGTGGTACGTCACTGAGGTTTCAATTTCCATTTCCCTGATTACTAGTGATATTGAGCTAATTTTCATTCATTTCATTTCCAGAAAGGCTGGAATTTTCTCAGGATATTCCAGACCCTCATCGTTCAAGTTCCAGCCTGTCTGGTGGCAATTACATGAGAGATTTACAGTCAGAACTGGCCAATTAAACTTTTTCCAGAGACAAAAATGAGAGATAACAAACTGAATAAAGTCGTCTTAAACCATTAAACTTTGGTGGTAATATCGGGTCTAGTAATAATTAATGTCGTTTTTAACATTCATTTAAAATCTTGCTTGGCATTTACTTGTATTGACATAACCTTCAAACACGTGGTATCTACAGAACGTGTGAAGTGCAATTAACAAGTTTTGCTTGAAAAAGTTTGTGTTTGGTTTGGTTTTTGTTGCAAAACTAGGGCTAAGAAGATGGCGGATGAAGAGCATATTCGGCACTGCATGCTTTACGAGTTCCAATTAGGAAGAAAAGCAAGTGAGGCTGCAAAAAACATCTGTAGTGCTCTTGGTCAAGATGCAGTTAGCGCCAGAAAATGCCAGCGTAGGTTTGAGAAATTTCGCGAGGGAAATTTTTCGTTAGATGACAAGAGTGGTCGAGGCCGTGTGTCCAATTTTGATCAAGAAGCTCTTCAAGCTCTTTTGGTGCAAAATCCTCAAATTACCCAACAAGAGCTTGCGACAACTTTAAATTGTTCACAAAAAACAATTTCCAATCAATTGCGTGCACTTGGCAAAGTCCAAAAGTTTGGAAAATGGGTTCCTCATGAGTTGACCGACAACAACCGTCATCAAAGAGTCACAATTTGCAGTTCGCTCCTCTCTTGTCAAAACCGTTTGCCGTTTTTAGAGCAAATTGTTACCGGAGATGAAGAATGGGTGCTGTATGTTAATTTGAAAAGGCGGCCTCAATGGTTGGACAAAAATGAGGCTCCGCAGCCCACGCCAAAACCTGACTTGCATGCGAAAAAAGTGATGTTGTATGTTTGGTGGAATTTTAAAGGAATTCTTCATTATGAACTTTTACCATCTAACCAAACCATTACAAGTGCAGTGTATAGTGCCCAATTGGAAAGGTTAGCCCAAGCTTTAAGAGAAAAAGAACCCGCGCTGAGTAATCGGAAGGGCGTAATTCTTCACCACGATAACGCATGACTGCATACCACAAGAATCACTGCTGAAAAACTGCGCAAGTTGGAATGGGAAGTTCTCCCTCAACCTGCATATTCTCCTGATAGTGCCCTTTCCGATTACCATTTGTTTCATTCTTTGCAAAACTTTCTTCTTGGAAAAAAATTTAATAATAAAGAATTCCTCAAAAATGCATTGAACGAATTTTTTGCATCAAAATCACAAGAATTTTACAACAGAGGGATTAAAATGCTTCCTGAGCGTTGGGCACAAGTAGTAGAAAACAACGGCAACTATATTGTTGATTAAATTCTGTTGTATTGTTTAAATAAATTCGATTTTAAAAAAGTATTAGAAAACGACATTAATTATTACTAGGCCTAATATGTTGCAGTAGAAAAAGGAAGAGAATGGAAATTCAATTATGCAAGTACTCTTACTGGAAATCTAATCTTTACTTGTGCTGCAGTGCCAACACTGTCATAATCAATGTATACCTGTATGCTTGGGTCAATTTCCAGATTCCATATTTTGTTCCACTGACTTGTCTGTCATTGCATCAATATCACACTGACTCAGTTACTGAAGCTTTTAAAAAATGCCTTGATGTGCAAAAAAACATTCTCTAACTGTGTTCAACTTCAGCTTTGTTTCAGAAATTCACATGCTGATCTTAAACTTTATACCTACTAAAAAAGACTAAGAATGCCCAAAACAACCTTAAAAAGGGAAAATGAATTTGGAAGACTGACATTACTGGACTTCAGAGTTGCTAAAAAACAAGGATAATTAAGAGAGTGAAGACTAGCTAAAGGAGAGACAAATAAAATAATGGGAGAGTCAGTGGGAAGAGGTTATGGTTGGAATAAATGGTGATAAAAAAAAAAAAATTAAGTAGAGTCCAGATATAGAGCCACACACATATGGTGAACAAAATACCAAAACAGTTCAATGAGATTTAAAAAGGGGGTTTTTTTTGTTAAAAAAAAAAATGACAATAAAATAACTAAACAGATATCTGTATATTTACAAAAGAACATTAGCTTTTAAAAAAATGAAGTCTAATTTTAATATTAAAGCTAAATATTAAGCTTCTAGAAAATACCTTCACAATCTTACTCATCTATCATGAATCATCAGTGACAAATGAAAATAATAAGTAAATTAAATTTTATAAAAATTAGAACTCTGTTCATCAAAAAATAAAAATGAAAATGAGAAAATAAATAAGCCAGCCACTGACTTGAAAAGTTTTCAGGGCACATATATTGACAAAGAATTTGTTTCCAGAATATATGAACAAATCCTAAAGCTGAGTAATAAAATGACCTACAACCTCATTGAGAAAGAGGCAAAAATTTGAGCAGATATTTAAAAAAGGAAGCTCTATGAATGGCCAATCATAACACACTGTTCAATATCATCAATCATAAATAAAATCAAATGTTAAGCCATAATTAGAAACCACCACATGCCTATTAAAAAGAATCTGGAATTCAAGTTTTTCTCCCAAGCCCCATCTACCAAAATAGTCAGCCCCTTAGCCTCACAGTTATAACTGTAAAAATTTATAATTTAAAAACAGTGGAAAAATCAGTCTCCCCTCTCCCAGAAATTTGACCCACAAACGCAACTTGTCTTGATAATTCCCTAATAGTTTTAGATCAAACATAAATAAATAAAAAGTTGTCTCCAAATTTTCTAGTTGTTTCCACCAGGAAACTTAATCTGAAAACACTTAGTTCACTTTTGTCTGAAGGAGAAGCCCTAATATGTTTTACATAATTAATTTCTAAACATATTGATAGGAATTAATGCAGTCTAGGAATTCTAATTCATGAAGGAAGTTGGAGAACTTTGGTTTTAGT